ACCTTTTGGTAGTGTTTGAATTTGCTGCCCAAGTGCAGTTTACCTTTGAGAAGTAAATGCATCCTATTTTTAAATTCTTCTGTGTCCACTTCCCCACGTGTGCCTCCTGAGTCACCCTCCGTGCCCTGAGGAACTTCATGTCTATCTGGGGAAAGAAGGCAGACCCTCATGAAAGTGAGTGAATGGGGTGGGTGGGGGAGAAATCAGTGCTGAACTGAGGACGCAGGGGACAGAGCCCTGGGCTGAGGGAACTGGAGTCCGGGCAGAATGATAGGACAGGAGTGTGAAGGGGAGACCGGGCCTGGACCTGGTGAGGAGGGAGGGGGAGCAGAGTCCAGACGTCAGCTAGGCTGAGGGGACCACGCCACCCAGGAGACATATGGGAGATGAGCAGGGAGGTCGTGAGTTCAGCGCAGACTGGGAGACAGCTCTGGCAAGGGGATGGCGTCCTTGCAGGCATCCTGGTGGAAAACTCCCTCTGGCCTTCATCAATACCAGAAAACCTGGCTGGCTGCCAGCCTCTTCTGCTGAGCCATTGTGCCAATAAATACTTGTTGGCAGATCAATTAAACCATCTAGGAACTACGTCTGGAAATACAATTTCCCCGACTTGATTTGGGCAGACAAGCCCGCTCTGCCAGTTTGGCCTGAGAGCCTACGGTTCCCACCCTCCACCCCCCAGAAAGCCGGCCCAGGACACCTGCTCTGCGGAATGGGGCCCTGCTGGGCGTGCAGCGTGGGGGGCAGAGCTGGCCCAGAGCTGTGTGGCTTTCGGCAAATTCTTCACCTTCTAAGAATCAGTTTCCTTTTTTATAAAATGGGGATAATAATAGTCACATTGCCTCGAGGTTTATTATGTGAACAACAACAAAAAAGAGTAAAATGAGTATAACACTTGGTTCAAGGCATGAAACATGGGGGGTATCTTTAAAGAAATATAATTCTTATGATCCCCAAATTGAAGCTGCTCGGGATGCCATGCCTGCTTTTCTCGGTCTTTGGCTCCTTTCCCTTCCCTGTGTCACTCACACACCACTCACCACCCAAGGACTCCAAGACAGGAGACAAAGCCAGTCTGTTAGCTCTCCTGGCAGCCAGCACGGAGGAGGAGCCAGGAGCCTGAGACAAGGAGCGATTCCTAAAACCAGCCCAGAACTGATTCCAAAGGCCAGGCCCACCCCAGGGGCTGAATCCTCACAGCAGTTGGGACATTTTCAGTGACATGATTCCGTTAGCAATCAAAGCATGGTTGATTCACAGCCACTGCCAGGGTTGGCTTTATGCAACCAGCTCTTTGGAATGCCCCGAGGAGTCCTGTGCTGAGCCATGAGCTGTGAGGGCTGGAGATGAAACCGGTGGGAGGAGGAAAAGCAGGGACAGCATCTCAGGGCTTCACACAAACTCACGGCTGAAGGAAAGGGTCCCCCCATTTGCTGCACCTGGCCAGGGGAAGCAGCCTCTTCTATCCATTGTTTTCCTGTCTTGTCTGCAGACATCTCCACAGGGGGCCCTGCGGACCAGTCTGCCAACTGTGAAACCTGGTTCCCCCAGTTACTAGCCGTGTGACCTTGAGCAGCTTACTCAAGCTCCCAGTGCCTCCATTCTTCATTGTGAAATAAAGGTGATAACACAGACATTAGCTCAAAGAGTTGTCACAAGGATTAAGTGAGTTAGAACTTGTAAAGTGCTTAAAATAGAGCTCAGCACAGACTAAGCCCTCCATTAGTTTTTGCTATTGTTCTGTTAGTGATTGTGGTTGTTAGGACTTGGGCCCTGGAGCCTGCCGTCCGGAGACGGCCTGCCCATCGGCCTGGCCTCAGTTCCCTGTTTTGAAACTCCCTCAGGAGGCAGATCCCCTGGGCGTCTTGGAGCTCTTTACGGTGAACCAAGATGCTGAGCTCTTTCACCTCATGGCAAAGCTGAAGAAACACATTTGCGAAGGAAAGGGCACTTCCAGGAGCTCTTGTCTTCAACGCATATGCTTCAGAGTTAAATGCGGTTAGCACTTTCTAAGTCTCGCTTTCACAGTCATAAAAATTCAAAAATGGAGAAAATGGTATCCATTAACTTACTTTAATCACATTTGAAGAGAAGCTTCTACTGAGGCCATTTTTGTTTTAATCCCTGGGTGAACCCCAGGACCTGGCAGCCCGCTCACCTCGTTAATCAAAGAAATGAGCACCAGCCTCTGTGCGTCTGCTCCGTGCTCCAACATGCCCACTTTACGAGGGAGAAACATGAGGTTCGGAGAGAGGAGGTGGTCATTGCCCATGGCCTCCAGCAGAGTGCTGGGGCCTGAGGGGGGTCCTGGGCAGAGACCTGCCCCCACGATCCTGTGGGGAAGCAACCCCAGAGGGCAGCTCCGCCCTTCTGTCCTTGAGCCTGTCTCTAACTAAGGCCACGTCCAGGTATAGTCTGAGTTCGGGGACCTGCAGTTTTTCCACTATGAATGTGGCTCAGAGCTCTCCTCATGCACAGAACACCACCTTGGGTCACCTTCCCTGCCCAGACGCTCCCTAGGGCCATCCCTTCCCAGAGCCCAGGCACCCACTGGTGGACTTCAGCCCCAATCAGCAGGTGCAGAATCACAGAGCACCTTCCCAACCCGCCCCTGTCAGACTCCCTGAAGTCTGTGCTCTGGCCCACCCTGCTGTCAGGGCTTGTCCCACTGATCGTGGGCCGTTGGAAGCCCAGAGGCTGGGCTCCCCTTTCCGAAGATGTACCCTGCCTGAGATAGAGAACATCATTCTCATCTGGGGAACAGGCCAGTGCCATAGCAGACAAGTCAATCCTGTCACCAAAGGGAAGATGCCACAGGCTTGTATCCACATGACATCCTGGACTCCCCTTGAGTCCTGGCTAGGCAATCCAGCTTCAGCCAACTTGACAAAAGTCACCACCAGTGGGGAGGATGGAACATGCCAAATTTCAGTCTCATCAAGTCTTTAGCCATCTGAAGGATGGAAGAGCTCAAAATGCCCCAAACACAATTGTCCTTTCCCACCCAGACCCCCACCCTAAGCAGCGGACCAAGGAGGACGCCACGGTTGATTTCTCCCAATCCTATCGTGCATGGAAGAGCCACTGGCTGCAACCTTATTAACAGCTTAGCTTTGTACCTGAAAACTAAGCAACAGATTAACACCCAAGAGGAAGCCCACCTTGGGGGCACAACCGTTCATTGGCTCAGGTAGCTCCCACAGGCTATCAACATCAGCCTTCAATCCCAGCTACCGTGTCACTGGTGCCACCGCACAGAATCTCACAGAAACTATGAAAGGGACCTGATACTGTTCCAGCTGACAGATGAGTAAAATGAGTTGTAGGGCATTAGAGTGACTGATTTACCAAAGACACACCACCACAGAAGGCGCACCAGACTCGAGAGCTGCTCACCAAGTCCACCTGTCCAGTCCAGCGATCAATTCCGGCAAGTAACCTTGAACATAACAGAGTGCTGTTGGAGTTGCTTTTCCCAGCACGGAGGTTCGCCTGGGCACCAGGTCTGTGAGGGATCCAGGCACCCCCGACAAGGCACTGGGAGGACCAAACTAGCCTTCACAGGACACACTCATCTGCTCCTGGATTTAACCAGTTAGTGAGAGTAAACAGAACAGCACTGTGTCATTCAACGGCACTCTTAGTTCAACACCAGGGAAATAAAATATGAACAAGAATGTCACCAATTACACCAGACAGCTAAGTACACTGGCCACAATCCATCGGCCTGCCACTTTTGCAAAGTCAACCTGCCCTGTGCTGATATAACTGTACATCTTACTTGAGTATATCTTGTTCTTGACTCCTTTTTCTTGAGTGTTACTTTTGGTCCCTCGACTTGAAGGGGAAGCATGAAAAAAGCATGGGCCTCGGAGGCTGACAGACCTGGGGAGACCTGGTGCTGGCTCTCTGCGGCCCCACCCTTCAGTCTTCTCATCCCTGAAATGGGGGCAATTATGTCTTTCCCTTAAAATGAATGAAGCAAAATTCTGGCCTTCAGCACCCACCTCTGTGCGCTTCATCAGGGGTGTGGCAAGACAGCTGTTTGGACCAGGAGTGTGTGAGCCCACAAGTTCCCCCCACTGTTGTGGGTCAGGCTCCTGTGCCCCCAGAAGTGACCCCACCCTAAGACCATTAACCACCCGTTATTGCTGCGTCACAGGATGGTTGTGCATATTAAATGCAACGAGATCTTAGAATTGTTAGGGGTCAAACCCAGCAACTTTGGGCTTGTCTACAGCTGGTAAGGGTGTTTTGTTGGCCTACACGGTGTTTTCCATGGTGGCCAAGATTAAAATTGGGATAATTCACACAAAATCTAGGTTTCTGTGTCCTCTTGGAAAAACCAGAAGATTCCACCATTTTCAGTTCTCATTCCCCTAGAGAGGCAGCTGCCCCTTTAATAGACAGTTCACCAGGAAGAGCTGGAATTTGGGTGTTCAGCTCTGCATATAGTATGTGGTCAATAAATAGTAGCTGTCATTTTCTTTATTTGTTATTTGTCAGTAATTTTGAGTGCACAGCATTCAAGTCAGGGACTGTGCCTTCTACTGCCTCTCTGCTTCTGCTGTGAGCAGCAGGTCGGGCACTCAGGAGACATCGTTTTGTGTAACTCTCATACAGACGGAACAATTAAAAATTAGCGTCAACACTCAGAGCCCCTACTGGGTGCCCAGTTGCTGTTCCAATCACTCCACATACATTATTATCTTATTTGATCTTCAACACAACCCTGACCAAAATTGCTAACATTGTGCTACACTTTAAGTAAAGAGACTGAGGCATGGCCCAAGATCACTAAACCAGCAAAGGAGAGTTAAGAGTTAAACCCAGGAGCCTGGCCTCAGAGTCCACCTTCTAGTCACGCTCTACACAAGGCAGGGTTTTCCCAAGTGCCGATGAAGGGCGGGGCCTCCCGCGCCCCTGACCTCCCTCCCCAACAACCCTAGGAACAGGCAGACTCTGGAACCCCCCATTCCCCACCCAGCCGGTGCACTTACGGTCAAGGCCGTTGATGTAGCGCATGGTGACTTCACAGTGGCCCCACACAGCACTCACCACCGGGTACAGCTTCTTGCCCTTGAGACCACGAAAGGCCACGCCTAGATACTGGCCATCTACAACGAAGCTCAGAGTGCCCTCGTCCATGTCCAGCACCACAAGCAGGGAGTCCGGCAGTGCGAAGGCCTCATCGGGCCCCAGGAAGGCTGGGTAGGCCACTCCGGGCCGGTTCTTGCCATCATGGTAGAGGCGACTGCGGCCCAGGTCCCAGCCCCACGACTCGGCGTCACTGCCCACCAGTGCCGTGTAGCCTACGGAGTGCAGGGGTGCCCGAGCCGTGGCCACACCCACGACTGCGTGGGTGCCCCGCTGCCGAGCAGGCCAGTGGATCTGCCAGGCGTGCAGGCCGCGGGCGTGGCCCACTTTGCCGCGGATGCCGTCAGTGCTCTGGGCCACCGGGTGCCGGTGGAAGGTGAGCCGGTCATCATCCTTGACGAAGACATTGAGCGAACGGTCCTCGGGGTTCCACGCGTGCCGCAGCTGCACAGCCAGCCCCGCCGCAGGCATGTCCAGCAGCTGGTCCAGCCGCGCCGGCCGCCCCGGCTCTGTGCCCCGTAGCTCCCGCTTCGTCGGCCTTAGCGCGGGCTCTCGAACCTCCACCGACTTGAGGCTCCCTGAGAGCTTCTGGCCCATGGCTCACTGCCAGGAGGGGGCCGCTGCTGCGGGCCACCGCTACCTCGTGGGAAGCGCCACCCCCTGCAGTTGGGAATGGGCCAGGGGCCTGGGAACCAGGCTTCCGGACGGCGTGCCTCCACAGCCTCTACGGGGCTGGGGCAGGAACCCAAGCTCCTAGAAGGAAGCAAAGGGCACAGGTTATAACAGGAGCAGCACTGACGGTCAGCTATGCCCATGCTTTGGCTGAGCACTTACTGTGCATTAACAATAACTAATTAATATAATAATATCTGGCACTTACCTAGAACTTGCCATATGCCAGATGCTGTTCTAAATTATTTGCATTTATTAGTTCATTTCATCCTTAAACCTCCCTATAAGACATACTCATTATTCTCATTTTATAGATGAGAAAACTAAGAGAGAGAAGGTAAGTAATTAACCAAAGTCCTACAGCAAATACAGGGCTGAGCCAAGATTCAAACCAAGCCCACCTGGCGTCAGAGTCCGTGTTCCGAACTAGGAGCAATCACAGGTCATTTCACTCTAGAAAAATGGACCGAAGCCAGAGAAGTGACTTGTCCAAGATCAAGGAGCCTGGAGAGGAACCCAGATGCATTTGATTCCAGAGGACGAGCCCTGGGCCAAGGCCAAGGGGTCACAGCTGCCTAAACCGTGTAGGATGTGGAACTGCTGCCTCCTTTCCTTGGCTTCCCTGGGAAGCTCTAATGCCATCTGAGGTCCAGCCAGAGTTGAGAAGGCAGATGCCGAGCAAGGATCAGGCCCCATCACCTGAGGACATGGGCGTGGACACACGACCACCATCTAAGGATGCGGTGGCATCTCCACAAGAGGTGAGCAGGAAGCAGGGGGCTGAGCGAGCTGGCGTCCAGGCTCTGGAACCAAACAGAGCTGCATCCCAAACCCTCTCTCCATCTCTTAGCAGTGTGTTCACAGGCAGGACTCTTGGTCTCAGCCTCTCCGAGACTCCAGTTTCCTCATCTGTGAAATGGAGATAAAGCGGCTCCCTCTCGGTGATGTGGGAATCTGAGACAACAATATGAAGGGCCAGCCCGAGACTCTGAGGGCAGGTTTCCCTCTCTGGCTCTATCCTCCAGACATCCCAAGTAAAACCTTTCCCTTTGGTGGGGCAAGCTCTTTCTACGGGCATAAAAAACACCTTAACAGCATTAACTCTGGAAGCTGCCTCCGAGGCAGGATCCTAATTTTTCGGGGAGGAGGACTTGGCCACTCTCACTAGGAGACCAGGGTGCTTGGATGGGCCCTGGTGTAGGCTGAGATGGAGCCCTGCAGCCTATGCAGAACAGAGGCCTGTGCCCTTCCCACCCTGGCCTCGGTGTTGCTGGGCCCAGAGCAACTTCCTGAGAGAGACCAGGAGGTAGGTGTTTTCCAGCCCCTGCTCAGCCTGGTCACGGCCACCCACCCAAACAGTGGCGCACTCCCAGCCGAACCACAGGCAGAGAGGAAGGAACCCCACTGCCACACAGCACGGGCGGGGATGCTGTGACTTTCTCTTTTTATCCACCCCCCCATTTTATTCTCAGTTTATGTTTTCTTTCATTTCTATGGTGAGACCCCAGCTTTGGCTCATGCCAACTCCACCCAGAGAGCTCTGGCTAATGTTTAACCTGGAGGAATACCAGAACACATAAAAAGGAAAATTCACAACGCAAGACAGTTCTAAGATAGCAGAATAAAGTTATGCCTTTTTACATCCCAAATCACCCAAAATAAAGGAGAAATTCTATCTTCAGCAAAACTGGAACACATTTGTAACCTGAACCACAACTTACACGGGGAGGCTGCCAAACGCTGTGAAGACCAAATGGGATGTGAGAAAGCACCTACAGAAGCACCTGTGGCTGCAGAGCTGGGGTAAAACTGGCAGATCTCTATTAGCCGGCACTTCCTGAAGGGGAAAAAAAACAATGGTTCCTAATCAGGGTATGCGGAGGAACAGGCTATGTGGTCTGGCAGTGGGAGTTGCCTGTGACATCCAGGTCACCCTGAAACATGGACATGAGCCTAAGTTAACCACCTGAGGGATGGGGTGCTGTCTCCATGGGAAGGGGAGTGGGAGGCAGAGGGCAAGGAGAGGAAAGAGGACAAGGCTAACAAAGAAAACCAAGGGCCAGCCATCTCTAGAGGGAGCAGTGTGTTGGGGAGGCAGAGCAGGGGAAGGAGCTGCATTGGGAGAAAAGAGGCTGTAGCTGCAGGTCTCTGCTGTCTGCATAGAAGCCAGAAGCAATCACTGCCACGGTCCTGTGGACTAAATCACCAGGAGCCTGGGAGCGATGCTGCTCTCCTAGAATACTTCCGTGAACCTGGTCTACATGCGTCCCCTGCCAAATGCTGACCTGGAGAGGTTCGCCTCTTTCAAAACAGCAACCAGCCCACAATGTAGTCAAAGATGCTAGAGAACAAATAAAGAAGGAAAAGAACAGAAAAAAATATATAACAAACCAACAACTCACCAGAAATCACCAGAAAAAAAGCTGTCACAAAGCAGATAAAAATATTGACCAAATTGGCAAACTAATGATCACTTATTTCAGAAGGGAGACAACTAGAGAATTTCAAATGTATTTTATGCAGTTCTGAAGGCTACCTCCAGGAGAACTAAAAATACAAATTTTCCAGTTGTCAGAGGGAACACAACAGAAAACAAACTGTAGCATGAAAGATTTTGTTTTAAAAAGCAATAGAAGCAGAAAGACAAAGACATAAAATAGGATAGGAAAACTAAGACCAAAATACCAGCCGGGCCAATGAATGGCCACAGAAATCCTCCTACAAAGAAAGGCTTCTAAGATTGAGGAGTAAGACAAAGCCCCCAGCAGTGTGCTTGCTACAAAGGCATCCCCAAAGCGAAGTGATTGGACAGATTCGAAAATAAAGGAAGGGCAAATATATACCAGGTAAATGTTACCTCGAATTAAACAGGCACTATTGCTTTCATATAATCAGGTAAAGCTGAATTCAGGGTAAATGGTTTTAAATGAGACAACACTTTATGACAATAAAGAATCTGATCCACAATCGAAGGTCTGACACACCAAACAACAGCACCCGCATTCAGAGCACAAGTTACTACGAGACGCACAAGGAGGGACGGGGAGATTCCCAGTAGAGGCGGGTGCTTTTGATTCACCTCTTTTAGTTCATGCCAGATCCAGGGAGCGACTTAGGCAAAGAGAGGAAAACCAAAATTGCATAATTAAAAGATCATTTTAACTGACATATATTTCAAAACACTGACCGTATATAAGGCCACAGATAAAACCTCAGCAAAAAAGCTGAAATAATACAGTAACTGATAACATGGAATTCTAATCACAAAACCCTACCACTTGAACCTTTTTAAAAACTTTCTTTTGCTTACCCTATTCTATGTACATCCGAGTGACAAGTGATTGGCTTACCGGGCACAGTGGGAAATTCCCCTCAGGAGCCAGCAGTGGTCTCCGGCCCAACAGAAGCTGGCCCACCTGCTGGGGCCCCCTCTGCTCCTACCCACGTGCACACCTGGGCGCAGCTGTCAGGTGCTGCAGCCGGCCGCCCCTGTGCTACTGCGGTGCTTCCCTCCTAGGGCTTTATGAAAACCTTCACTTATTTTCCTTCACATGACAGGTCTCTGTCCTGTCTGTCACGGAGCAGTTTTTCCAATTCAAATGTGACTATGGTATGAACATTGAAATGACTGAAAATAAATAAAAAACAAACTCTCTTTTAAACAATACAGATTTAAAAAAAATTTATACAAAAAGTGAATAATACCCAGAAAATAAGAATAAGAAATATTCCGTATATTAGAATCTGTGGGATCCCACTAAAATAGTACTCAAAGGAAATCATAACTGTTTTACTTACACTAATACACCAGAAAGAATGAAAATATGTAAATTAAGTGTAATAAATTAGAAAAACAATAGAACTAATCAAAAAAATCTGAGCACTGGTGTTTTGGGGAAAAATACCACAAAAAACAAACCAAGAAAACATATAAACCATCTAACCCAATCATTTAGTCTATATCATATTATCATATTGTTATTATTATATTATTATCATATTAATCAATCACATTGATAGTGTATTCTCTCAATACGATACAAAGAAATAACACATGCCTGCTATGGTCCTCCCCCTCCAAGCTCCTGAGTCCAATCAGGAGAGACACACAAAACGAGTTCCATCACAACACCTCGATAGTGTTCCTCGAAACTGCCATGGCCATTAAAGACCAGTCTGAGAAAACTGTCACAGCCAAGAGGAGCCTGAGGAGACACAACTACCAAATGTAATGTGGTGTCTTAGATAAGGGCCGGGAACACGAGAAGGACATTAGGTAAAAACTAAGGAAATCTGAATGAAGTGTGGTCTTTAGTTAATAACAACAATCAATATTGGTTCATTGGTTTTGATAAATGTACCATAGTCGGGGAAACTGGGTGTAAATATATGGAACTCTCTGTACTTTCTGCTTAGTTTTTCTATAAATCAAAAACTACTCTAAAAAAATAGTCTATTAATTTAAAACATTAATTTCTCAATTTTAGATAATACAAAACATGTACAAAAACTAAAAATCATCTTCTATCCTATTAACCAGATATAAACATTGTTAGCATTTGGATGTACTTCATTTTATTCCCTTTTTTTGTCTATAAAATATTAGTGAATTTTCTTTTTTAAAGAAAAAGAAATTGGCATCATGGGCCTTTATTCAGGTTATCTCATCTAAAATTTAATAACTAACATTTTTATATATTACTAAATATACTTAATGTATGACTTTATGACTAAAAGGCATTACAATACATAAACCATTTAATCTGATCATTTAGAAGAGAGGGGCAGATAAATATGTTAAATATGAGATGAAAGTGAAAAATAACCAAATGGCATAGCAAAAACACTCATAAAAGTTGTTAGGCTTGTTTTAAGAGGAGGAGAGAGGTGTAACACAAATCATAAATGTGACACACCACTCCCGCAAATGAGTAAGACCAACCCGAATACAAAATGGGAAAGAATACAACCAATAGCTCACACAAAAAACCAAACAGCTTCTCTGAAAAGATGATCTGTCTACCAAACGCATACTATAGGGCTGGCCTAAAAGTCTGTTACATTTTTTCTTTATAATAAAAGACACATTTTTAATTTTCACCCATAACTTTTATTGATTTGGATATTTTGAGTATGCCAGCTAATCTCCTGCTATTGGCCTCTAGTGGGTAGAGGCCAGGGGTGTTTCTCAACATCTTCCAATGCACAAGACAGCCCCACAGCAAAGAACTGTTTGGCCAAAATGTCAACAGTACAAGAAACTTTTGATTATGTTCAATTAGTCATAGCACCTTCTCCATACACTACACAAATCTTTTTCTGCATTTCAACTGCATTTTTAGCTTTCTTGAAATAATAAATCATAATATACCAAAAATGTTGTGTATCTTCTTCCATCTTCAATATTAAAATGGTTGCATAAAAATTCACCAATTTTGACAAGTTATTTTTTAAGTGCACGCTGATATGACAGCTGTCACAACACAGTCTAACAAAATTGTTTCAAATGAAGTTATAGACAACTAAGCACTACTAGAGCCATGGTATAGAAAAAAAAACATAATGGACTTTTTGCCAACCCAATAAAAGAGAAACTAGTTAGAACTACAGTGAAGTGCCATCTTGGCCTATCAGATTAGCGAAGATCAGAAATTTGGATAACATCTTCTAGGAGAAGCAGATAGGTCCCTATATAGCTAATTGGAAGGTTAAACCGTGAAACCTCAGCAAATGGCAAATTAGCATCATCTCTCAGAATTACAAATGCACATACCTTTGACCTAGCAAGCCTACTTCTGGTATTTACTAAGATATGCTCTCAAATGGGCAAAACTACATATATATGTAATATATATGTATCGTATAATATATAATATGTAATACATGTATATATAAATTATCATATGTGTTCTATATGCACATATAAATATATAGCATGTTTGTAGTAGCAAAATATTGGAAAAAAACCCAAATAAAGACAGGATAATTTTTTTGCAAGAAGTTCTGCTTTTATTGCATTAAAGACTGCAAATGGTGAGACTAGAAATTATGATAAATCCATATGATAGAAAACTATGCAGCTGGAGAAAAGAATGTACTGATATGGAAGATCCAACAGATCCATGAGGCCAAACAAGCAAGGTGCCGGGTCCAGGATGCTCACACTACTGTGGAGGGAGGGGGCGGGGAGAAGAAAGAGGGAGCAGAGAAGAAAGGGAAGAGGAGGTGGGGAATTTAACCCAAAGGGCTTCATCCAGCCCTTGAGCCTTAACCAGGTTATGAGAAATAAGCAAGAAAACATGCGAGAGGCACAGGGAGTGTAGTGGGGATTAGATCAGAAGAGCCAACACGCTCACCCAGAGTCCTCTGTGGAAGTTTGCACAGACTGCCCCAGGGCATCTGACTGGGGCGGGGCGGGCGGGGCGTTGGAATCTGCCACTTTGGTAATTCACTTAAATGCTTCTTTGCTGTCATTCTAATGGCCAGGAAACTAGGCTCCAAGAGAAAGCATGCTGACCAAAGTCACCTAGCTGAAAGCCAGCAGGGCTGATCCCACCTCAGTAGCCTGAACCCAAAGTCCCCACTGCCTCCACTCCCCTTGTGCTTTCTCCATCACTAACCTTAAATTATGCACTCACTCTGTGCCAGGCTGCATGATATCTGCTTCACAGGAACTAGGAGGTCTGTGCCCCTTTATTCAAAAGGAGAAAGAGGCTCCCAATGAGAGGTTTCCAGTCATCAGAAGGACGGGGAAGGACCCCAGGGCCACACTGGGACAAGCCTGTGCTTTACCATCTCCCTCCAGGCTTTTTAGAACAGAACCTTTTCACGACGCCC